AGATAAATGTGAAATTCCCTCAGCTATGAACCAATCTTATCGCCTTTCCTTCCCCTTCCATCTCCTTCCATCTCCTTCCATCTCCTCCAGCCTGCGCGGCGCATGCAACGCCCGGATTCTGCCCACTGACGCTAATGGCTTCAGGGCGTTCTCCAAGTTCAAAAGTTCACCTTTTACGATCTCCCCGAGCCTGACTGACCACCTCCAAATAAAAACATTCCGACCTCTGTTCCCAGCAAGCCCAAATCACCCCCACACACACACACACACACACACGCACACACACAACTCAAGCAGCAAGCAAACACACAATCCAATCACCCCCACTGATGCAAAACAAGGAAACAAACCGAACCTGGCCAAAAATGCAGGACTTCACGTTTTCACACGTGTTTCATTTTAGCACTACACACTGCTTACACACACTACTGCACACTGCGTACACACACTTGTCTGCGCTAATCTCAACTGCATTGGTCATTAGTGTACAGTTTGGAGAGAGTGGCGGAGCCTGGTGGATGCAGCCATGCTCTTGTACGTGGAGGTGAGGAAAGGTGTGATCCAGCCACACACAACATAGTCTCATACACCACATGTGGAGCTGTGTGTGTGTGTGTGCGTGTGTGTGTGTGTGCGTGTGTGCGCCTACCGTTAACGGACTTTGCGTTGTTTCTCTCCGGGTAGTCGAACCCATTCGTCCTCTTCTCTACCTCCATCCTCCTGCATGGGCTGATCCCGAGTCAGCCCGACGTCGCCTCTCACCACCACGAAAAGCCCGCACTCTGGTGCTGCTGCTGCTTATGATGATGATGATGATGAGGGTGGTGGTGGTGGTGGTGGTGAGATGACAGCGGTGATAGCGCACTGTGAAGTGAATCGAGCTGCCACTGCTTTGTCCCCGTCCTCGGCCCCGGCTGGCTCACTGCTCGGACCGCCGTCCCATGATTTAGCCTACTGCTTCTTCCAGTCAGCGGGGAATCAACTGGGTCCACACCCCCAGGGCTGGTGCGTTCACGGCCTGCTAAGAGGGTGGAGGAAATGGCCATCCAATTAGAAATCAGACACAAATCTGACCGCCAGACTAATTGTCTTTTTCTTTTCTTTTTTTAAATAATTAAACATTTTTGTGGGGGAATTTGAATGAACCAATTAGGAAGAGTATTCGAATTACATTCTTCCTGTAATATGTCCAACTTTTCACAATACAATGTCATATATAAAGGAAATAGACCCTAAAATGACCTTCACTAGTTAATAAATAAATGAATACAAAACAGAATCAGACACAGAAGTAGACTAATTAAATCATGTTCAAATGTTAAAACCGTGTAACATTTAAAATAAGACATGACACATTTTTACTCTTACAAATGAAAAGTTGATTTCATGAACAATTTACTAATAAAAAATGATACAAACCGGGCCAAAATCTAATAATGCTGTCGTTAACTAGGCTAGTTTGAATAAACGGCTACATAAACTGGTGTGGTATTGTTACCATTGACAGTATATATAATATATTGTTACATAAAAGAGCCATAGGCCTAACGTTGCTTCTGTAAGTTAGGTGAATGTATCGTGTCAGTGAACACGGGAGAGCTCAACATTGCTTCATACTTACAGAATAGAAGAGTGGAAAACGACTGCGCATGTTTTCAACCTAATTGAACTGTAACTGAACGGCTAATTTAGTTTTTCCGCTTAACCTCATCGTGTATTATATCTTCAAATATTATAAAGTTCGCTTGCTCCCACATGAACTGAAGGCAGCACAAACACACAACATAGATTACGCAACGGGTGGACATCACTCCGCGGGCATTATGGGATATGGAGTCCCGTCCTGAATCCGAAGAGCAGTTTAGATAAACCGAAAGCAAGCACGTTAATGCTAAAGCTAATGCTATTGCTATCTTCTGGTATTTATGCTACTGTTTGGCTAGCGACAGGAGGACGCTCAGCGTTAGCAGCGAGTTCCATTTGTGTTTAAGAAGTAGTTGAGAATATGTGCTGCCCTCTGGTGGTCGCAGTGTGAAAAGAGAAGTCCCGTTAATAATAATAATAATAATAATAATAATAATAATAGTGGTTCTTTACTGTTGCTGGAAAAAGAACTTGTTTAGCCCCTTTACGGTTCTTCAGAGATTATCTACTGGTTCTTCTGCTTAGTTCTGTTCAGATGGGGAAATAATTAAAAAAACTACAACTGATTACAATACAGTGTATTTTCTGAAGAAAACATATTAAAGCAGTAGTTCACAACCATTTTGTTTTGCCCCCAGGGCCCCAATATGTCCAGGCTTTGGGAGTAATGGATTAGGATACGATAAAAAGATAACTGTAATCCATTATAGTTACAGAAGTAAATACATAATCAGATTACAGATTTATTAACAAAAAAAGGGATTTTTAGCAGGATTACAATTTTAAAATACATACATCTTTCTTTTCTAAAAATTCACAGAGCAGAGGATATGTCGATGCTAATTTCTTTTCTCCGTTTCTATTTTATTTAATATGGTCACATTGTTCTGTTGTCCTATAGAATACACTTGCATAAATGCATAAATATGATTTATTTATATATTTGGATATGAGGTAATCCAAAAGTAACAGAAAGTAAACAA